GCACTTCTTTAATTACTTTTTGAGATGTAATAGTCATGACTTGGGCTTATTCTTTTGGATAATGTTGTAAATATTCGTGGATGACAAATGCAGTCTTATTTTTTAAGGGATTATATTAGTGCTCTCATGATATGAATGATTTTAGAATGTAATGTCGTCCAGGGTGTGTTTTGGGGTGTTACAAATTCTAACAAACCACATCATATATTTTTGCAATTTCATCAAATAACCATTAAGTTCCATCGTATATATAATTGGACTGAATGATTATCATTCAATTTTAGTGTATCCAAATATGGATATGTGGAATTTAATTTAACAGATTTGCATATATATACTTAATCAAAAATGTCAATTCATATCTAATTAATCGAATTAGGAGTAAAATTGGCTAGGTGACTTAATGTGTGGTAGCAAAAAGAAGAGAAATATGTGAGATTACGTCGTACAAAGAAGTTTAAGTTTAAATTTTTAATTTATGAAATAATCTCAATAAAGTTTTCACAAATTTTACCGTGGAAGAAAGATTTAAGAGAATTTAAATTTCTAAAAACTTTAAATTAATCCCAAAAGATTTTAAAATCCAACGAGGGCAGCTGCCCCCAATCTTCATCCGTTTACAGGTAAAGAGCATTCTCATCCACTAGACTCTAGAGTTTGAAGGCCATCAATATCATGACTAATTTCACTTGACTTTGGGTAATGAACAAGTCAAGTCTATTGCCTCTCTCATCCACTGGTCAAATCTATTGACTTGGGCCGGCCATTCACAAGTCAAGTCTATTGCCTCCTTGGCGCGGCAAGCCTAATTTCTTGGATGTGGAGCCATTGCCAAGACCGGATGCAGTAAAACCAACTCAATATTCAACAATCAGCCAATAACTTTTATGGCACGACGGACTTAAATTCACATATGCGGGTCACTTGACGTTACTGATGGTTTAGATTAGTTTACATAATTATTAATTATTATTGTTTCAAACCGATAATACAACAATTAATTCATTGCTTTCATAGTACAACGTAGTAAAATTCACTTACACGGGATCAATTGACCTCTTTGATGGTTTAGATCCTTCAAGAGCATTGTTAATTACTATTTCATTCGCCTCAATAAAACAAGAGTCAGCCAATTAGCCAATTACTTTCATAGCATAATAAAGCTAAATTGATGTACGTGAGATCACTTGACTATATGAAAGAATAGTTAAGATCAACGTGCATTATTACTAAATTACTATTCTACTCGACTTAATAATGTAATAGTCCGTCCACTAATTCCATAGCATGACGAGGTTAAAATTCTTATATGCAGCCCACATGTGGTTAGGTAGATTTGCATCGAAATTAATTATTATTCTATTTAACTTAACAATGTAATAATCGGTCCACTAATTGCATAGCACGACGGAGTCACATTCAATAATGCAATAATTATTATTGTTTTCTCCTACCAGCATGCTGAATCCATAGCATGCTTGAGTTGAGATCCATTTTATTCCCAACATCAAATTTTAGTGAAAAGAACATTCATTTTAAATGAAACTAACATGGCCATCCATGGATCAACATGATACTTAAACAGCAAGATGGCACCTACGACTTTTGTGGTTAATAACTAGAAATCCTAAGTTCCAGTCTCGTAAAAAAAACCTTGATTGACCCGATGCACCTAGTTTGTAAGTGATTGTGTCAAGTTTAATTTGCAAGCACAAGTCCAAATAACACATTCTCTTTTATCAAAAATAAATATGGTACTAGAAATACCTCATGGTATTCTTTGATGTTCAACGAAGGTGCATAAAATATCTTGAATGGTTATGAATTTAAATTCAAATCTACAAACCAACTTGATCCTAATTTTCCTTATTGCTGAGGCATTGTATGAGTAAGTGGATTTCATTGATCTGAACTGCACTACACTAGTGCAAAGAGGAGAAAATACTTGTCAGGACAATAATGTGCTGATATACAACTGATTTGAGTTGACATACAAAATGCATTTGCATCATTGCAGATAAAAAAAGTGTTTACATTGTAAGTGAGATTTTTTTTTTTTAATCATTGAGTATCTCAAACCCACGTGCAAGGCTGTTTTCCCATATCCATTCGAACAACTTACGAAAATTGTCAAAAACAAAATTGTAGGTAGAGGTTACACACATTTCAACCAAATTGAACCATGCCCATTCATATCAATGAAACCATAATCATTATGTACATCCTTTGAAGCCTTTTCCATCGGTGATGGAGCTCCAATGTCGACGCGTTTGTTACGTGATAGAGGTCCACAGAGATAAGGATTTTCCTTATAGCTGCTCTCATTGAAGGTAGCAAATTAAACTTTCAAATTTGGAATTTTATCTGATAAATTGTTGTGTGCTACACTGAAGACCACCAAAGAGTTCAATTGAGTCATTTCAGAGGGGATACTCCCGGTCGGGTATAGGAAAGATCTAAACTCTCAATTTGCCTTAGATTGGAGAATATTGTTGGAATTGATCTAGTGAGATTGTTATGGGACAAATTTAAGGAATGGAGCTCACTTAAGTTCCCAATTTTTGGGTATTTTACTTAAGTTCAACTTAAAAAAAAAAAAAAACTGAGATTGTTTTTTCCAAGTAGCAAAGTTCAGTAGGAATTAATCTTGCCTTCAAAATTGTTAGCTTTCAAGATGATTAAACTCAATTCAGAAAGGTTACCTATCCAAGCTGGACTTTTACCATTTGAGTTGTTATCCCCAAGACCTAATGTCACCAAAGAAGAGATGTTGTAGAATGCATGAGTCAATGGATCATTCAATCTATTTTTATTCAGATGGACATGAACAATGGCTGAAGGATTAAAACAAAATGGCAAAGAACCTCACAAATTATTTTTATTAATGTCCATAAATTCGAGAGATTCTGATATACTTCTTTTTTTATGTTTTCATGGCAAAGTGGTGTCAAATTAAATAGAGGACCGAGGCTTTTGGATAGTTTACGAGTCAAGCATTCAAAATCATCATGACTATTCAGTTTGATTTTGAAATGCACAAGTCAGTCCACTGCCCATCCATCACGGCAGACCTAATTTCTTCTATTATTACTATGGTTGAATTCCGCCTTCACCTCGGTTCAAAAAAAATTTACACCTTGACCACGATGGCCCCAATCTTATTTTACCTGTCAACTATTGAGAGTTTATTTCGGCATTTTCAATCCTTATTTTTTTTTAAACCCAAATTTAAATTTTAGTAAAACATACATAAAAATCTTCTCTAATGTTGTACCCAAACCCTTAACAAATTAAGGAAGACTCAAATTTTTACCAAAATCAAAGGAGATTCAAATCTATACTCAAATCACCAATTATTAGATTTCATCCACATTTAAATATTTAATAGGCATATTCTGTCATCCTTTAAATTTGAGTTTGTTTTCACTTAAATTTGGATTTGTACTCTTTTAACTTTGAGTTTCTCCATTGGAATGTTTTGTATCAAATCAAACTTTTTATCCATTTTTTTTCCTTAAATTTGACTAAGTTTAAATTCTCATTGGAGGTGGTCTTATATTACCTCCTCAACTCTTGAAATCGATTTCATAGACCACCACTTCTATTCTATCCATTGATAAGCAAAAGTTGAAGATCCAAGTGAAGAAGGTTATAATTCCTCAAACATAATGTTAGATTGATATCCAAATGTATGTCACTCAGTGTCAAACCGACAAACCCTTGATGATAGGGTAAGGAATACATTTGTACACAATTTTGAGAATAGATGGTGGATGATGTTGAAGTAAATTTAGGGTTCCATAATGAAAGAAAAGAAACAGATATAGTGAAAAATGGAGCCAAATTTACTTCCATATCAAATTCACTCAATATTAAACACTTTCAAGAATGCAAATTGAACCTAGTATTTATTCAAATAGGGCATTGACCAATATTGGTGATCCGATTTTGAGAAAATGGTTACCATGCAACGTTACGTTTGTGCTTCATCAACTACTAACTTCGTCAATTTCATTCGTGAAATTTTCAGTTCAATTTAAATGGTAAAATGGAAGATGAATTTTTTAGCTTAGTAATGAAAAATACCACATGAAATTTGGAGTGTTAATTATATTGGGCTCTCATGTATAAAACAATTATCATGAAATTAAGTTAGACTCAATATGTTCAAATGAATCCTATTAATTGTCCATATTAGGATGTGGAATTTTTCCTTTGATAGATACATGAAACTTTAATTACATGAATATCCAACAACATTATCAATTACACATACCTCACGACTGCAAATCCTTTGATACGATCAAATTTTTCTATTGATCTATAGCTGTATAGTTATTAAGATAATGATATACACTTTAACTTTTTGATAATTTACAGGCCTAACCTTGTCATCCACTAGAATTTAGAAGCCATCAACATCATCACTATTCCACTTGACTTGGTCATGCACAAGTCAGTCCACCGCATTACTAGCACGGCAGGACTAAATTCACATATGCAGTTGTAGTCATTGCCAAGGCCAGCTGCATCATTACTATTCCACTCAAGAATGCAACAATCAATCCACTACTTTCATAGCACGGCGGATTTAAATTCTTGTATGTTGAGTTCATTGACCCCACTCATGGTTAGATTAGTCTGTATCATAACTGACTGCTAATCAATGTTAATTCAATAATACAATAGTCAGTCCACTACTTCCTTACCACGGCAGAGCTAAATTCATATATATGGGGTGATGACCTATATGAGCTAAATTCATATATATTGACAGTTTATCAGTCTTTCATCATTACTAATTGCTATTCCATTCGACTCAATAATGCAAGAGTTAGTCCATGGCTTCCATAGCATGACGGGTGTAAAATTCATATATGTGGGATCCATATACGATTCATGAAATCACTACAATACTCTTTTGAACCACACATTGACATCATCCTTCCTCTAAATTCTGAAAAGGCAAGGACATCTGAAATAAAACCATGAGGATTACAAAGTTGTAGCACTACAATTCACTAAATTAATCTCCAACCAACATGAATTTAGAAATATTTTTGTGCTGGATATTGGAGGTAGCCATCTAATGCCAAATGCCTAATATGACAGCAATAGCAAAGAGAAGTAGAAGGGCCAAGTCTCCTCCTGGTAGGATGGATGACCTGCAAACACAAGATGTCGATTAGACTCACTTTTTTTCGCCATTATTTTTCCGGAAATTAATTGAGGAATAGTCATGCGATCAAGAAACTACTACCTAAGTCGGTTAACATCCTACAAACCTTTAAGTTGTTAAAATCAAATACATACTACAGACAAAAAATTTAATCTCTTCAATGGCTCAAATTTTCACTACGTTTAGCTACACATTGGTGTCTTATGTGGAAAAGCTTTTTCCAATTTTCCATTTTGTTTCTTTAATTATTTACTCGGGGTAACTCCTCTCTATTCAATAGATGCCAGAACTCGAATATGTACACAGACAGCTCTTCTCATCTCCTTCAATTGCCGGCATCACCATTTAGCAAATTGCCATTTCCATGGCCTTCATCTAATTTGAGTAATTTCCGCAGGTTGAGATCCTTTCATTTGGATATGCTGAAGACAAAAACATAAATTTTATAATAGAGGTATATATAAAGGACAACAAGAATGAAGTAGGAAATTTTTTTGGCCCACCTATCTGTGATAAACATGAACTAACCTTTGAGATGAGCTTAAGAGCTGATTAAGCAAATAGTTATCAAACATCATATAGAACAATCAAAATATGATAAAGACAGATTGGCTTTCCACAACGTCAATAATAAATATGACAACATTTAATACAGATTCGAAGGCCTTCAAGAATTGTATGAATTTCAAGATCGTTTCGAAAATTTCTACCCCATAAAGAGTAAGATGACTCTAGCACAAATTTTTATGAGCTTTGATGTAGAATTCAGAAGAGTTAAAAGATATTACTTAGACATGACAATTAGTGAAGCAAGGATTTGTTAATTGTTTCGAGCTAGTAGCTGGACCTGGATATTTTGACATACCTAAGTTTCTCCCTTGATTGGTGAATGTATGCCATTACTGGAGGAAGAATGCCAAACAGAAAGCAATTAGCATAGATCCCAGCGAAGTCAAGGGCTCTTGAGAAGGTTGAATGAGAGAGAGAGATGCTATGAGGATCGGAACAGCCAGTACAAATAAGGTCGCAATGCTGTCTAACAAGCTAAAACCAGGTAACAATTTAACTTCTCCGGCAAGAATTTGCCTTGATCCACCATATGAAATCTTCCCACATTTCCAAGATAATGCTCACCTGAATAGGTAACAAAACCAACTTTTCGAACTCCATCCTCAACAGATATAGTTCCAGATTGATTACAAGTTTGTTTTGAGTAGGATTTTCCAAAAATCAACTCCAAGGTATCGACCACCTGTTTTGGAAAGCTAACAGCATAACCTATGAAGCTAGTGGCCAAGGCTAATGAAGCAGAGCTGATAGAGAGCAGGAGTGACATAGGGTCTCCAGAGGACGATACATCGTGTGTCCCAGAAAGCCCCAAAACAATCAGATTCCATGATAAAACCATAACCAATGGAACAAACCCACCAATGAATATTGCTTTCCGAGCATCATTTACAGTGTTCCCAGAAATCTTGCAAACAAATGGGGAGATTACATGGAACCCCAACGTGAGTACAGTGACACGGATAGCAGGCAAGACTGAAGAAAGACCCCATGAAGCGTAGGCAAAGGATCCCATTATGTAGGTTCTCCCAACAGATAAACCAATGGCCACGAGTGTAGTTAGGGAGAAAAGCATGAGGAAGCACAAAAACCTGTTGGCAACATCGATAGCCTTAAATGGAAAGGATCAGAGTACAACGCCAACAACAAAAGGAAATAAGGCATTAGCAATTATAGAACTCATCCACGGAAACCATTGTGAGACAATAGAACCAATGCCTGAAATGCATACCACCAACAAAGAGAAACTTAGGGAAGCATAAACTAAAGCAATGGAAGAACCTGCATGACTTCCGAAAGCTTTTGTTGCCAGGCCAGTGAAGCTCACCTCATCAACATTGTCTTCCTTCATAGTAGCGAATGTAGGCTCCGCGACAAGTATGATAGAGGATACAACATAACCCAATAGATGATGATGGCAAGGGTTGAAGGAAATGGGCCTGATTTAATTGTTGCTGCAGGTAAACCCAACATTCCAGGGCCTACAGCAGTACCAATAATCAAACTGACAGCTCCCCAAAAGCTTTTCTCCTGAGTTTGTTCTCAGACTCGAGGTTTATGACATCTCTTGCTGCCACAGTCGCCATCATTGTCATCCGAATTTACGGCTATGGACGAGATCAAGTGGTTTCCACACCTTACAATTGGAGTAAAGTTCTGGTTGGAGGGATTGATATATGTTAATAGAGAAGTTTTAAGGTGTATTGGGCTCTGAACGATGGAGAACCTCTGTAGTGGAACTATGTGATGACATAGCTGTTTGGTAAGGATCTTGAAAGAGTAGTTCAGTCCGGTTTGGATTGTTGAAGAAGGAAGCATAATGGTATTCAAGGTTTTTCATGCTTAATTCAACTCAACCTTTATTTCAACAGATTCCATGCCTTCCAGTTTCATTTCAAAAGAGTGAACGAAGAAAAACATTGCCATTGGAAAAGTGATTGTATGCATTCCTGCATTGACACATTTATTCTCGTAAGTTAAAATTTGAAGATAGAAAAGTATTGAAGCACATAAACACTTGTGGTACACCCTCTATAATAGCTCAAGCTTTTAGATGTTTTGGTGGTTTAAAAAAAAATTTATTATATCTGATCAGGGGTAAGTTGTTACAAATTCTTCACGAAATGGAAGAAAACAACATTTAACCACAATGCATGTCAATTTCATCACAGAAGTAAGAAGCACATATTGTTCTATTTTTTGCACAGAAAGCGAAACATATAATGTTTTAACTCAATGATTATATAGGCAAATTCATAGCAGAGGGAAAAACCAAGGGATGAACATGGACCAATAATAGAACTCTGGAGAGTGTCCTATATTGTTCAAGTGCAGAGTAAATGCAATAGATTGAAAACTTTATGACAAAAAACAAAAAGAAAAGAAAAAGTGTGGACAATTTTTCCCAAATGCTGCAAAGCCCACCAAATTTACAAGAGAAGAGACAACTCAAGATGCCAAATAAACCCTCTTTCTGAAAAAATAAAAAATAAAATAAGCAAACCATTGCTGGATCAAGGGATTGGCGCAAATTGGCAATTTTTGGGTTTGATGAGGCAATGCCCAAATGAGGGTCAAACAATCCCAACAAAATTGAACCTGCGCTACGAGCTGACAATAGAGGTTTTCTAGAGGGAATTGCACTTTGCACCCCCCCCAAAAAAATTAAGATTTCTCATTTTGTACCTTTAATAACTAGATTTTCTATATTGCACCTTTAATATATTAAGAATTTAAGAGTGATATAAATTTTCACTTTGTACCTATTGCAAATATTACAATTACACTGTATATATTGTAATAAAGTAGATGTCCCATAACCTTCAATTAGTAAATAAGAATTAGAGGATATTAGTACATTAACTTATCGGGGAGAGAATTTCATCACCATCAATGCTCAAAACATTGATATATGACATCAGAATGCATTGGGTTTATGATTAATCTAGTTGATTTCTTATCAAGGGTGAATTTTATCAGAAAAAGTATCCACATCAAAATACATGACAATTTGGACGTTGTATTCTTTTCCTTTGTCTAGGTTTTGCCTTATTAAATTTTCCTAATCAAGTTTTAATGAGGTAGCATAGTGCATCCAATGCTATTATAAGATTCATGTGAATATGTTCTCTTACAAACCATTTGTCAAAAATAAAAAGAAGTCTAAAGTACATTGAGAAATACAAGTTGAAAAACTCTATTATCTAGTATTTCTGTATTCTCTCTTGTTCTTTTACAAATTTATTATATATATTTCTTTAGTTTTATGGCACCCTCAATATATTAAGGGTATTGAACTGTTTTTAGCTTTTGTTGCTCATTTGGTTAAGAACCACCCTATTGCGACATTTTTAAAAATATTGATGGTAAAATATAAAAACTTTAATTTTTGAAGAGTGAAATAAAAATTTTTAATCTTTTGCGGTACAAAATATAATTTCGCTGGTTTTCAAACTGGACTAAGAGAGACACCACGGCGGATGATGACGGATGAGTTGGTCAGCCAACTCAAAACTCGGTAGGAGTCATAGACAGGCTCTAGCAAATGTGTACGTTCTTCGAGTGTCCCACTTTCAAATTTCCCTTCTCACCCTATAATCCATTTGTCAAAAATGAAAAGTTGAACTGCTCACACTCACCAAAAAAATCACTTGAACATATTAATATTTTATTTTACATTTAATTTTGCGATTACAAAAGGAATGAAAGGAAGATGTATTACTATACATTATATATATTATAAAATACAACACAATTAAAATCTCAAAAAAAATAAACAAAATAACTTTTACTTTTGCGGTTGAGATCTCTTTAAAATTACTTTAAAATTAATTCGACGACTAATATTAACATTTCAGATTTAATAGAAAAAATATGCCCCTAAGAGTATATTTGTGGTAACTTTTTAAAAGTGCTTCTAGCACTTATAACATTCCATAAATATATATATTTTTTTAATTTTAAAAAATAGTATTTGAAACCGTCCCACTACCACTATCCCCCCAAAAAATCGCCCCACTATTATCACCACTACTACTACCACCACCACCACTTCTACCAGAACAACCACTATCACCTCTACCAGAAAATCCACCACCACCAACACTGGTGCCACCCCACCACCACAACCATCATCACCAATACCCTCACCCCCACTCCCACTGCCCCACCACCCCACTACTATCACCACTACCATAATCGCTGCCATTCAACCACCACCTCTGCCACAACAACCATTGCCCCACTGCCACCTCAGCCACAACAAACACCACCACCCCTATCCCCACCGCCTCACCCTCACCCTCATCCCCACCGCCTCACTGTGAACTGGGACCTCAGTCAGTCCGATTTTTAAATTGAATCGCTTAAGCAATTAAATCATAATAAAACCACCAAATCAGCCGATTTTTGACAAAAACTATGAATCGGACAGTTTTGTCAAATCGGATGGTTCTATTGTCTTTTTCATAAAAACCCCAAAATCCCCAATTTTACCTTAATTCTAGTTGATCTCCATCTTCTTCTCCACTTAAGAACACCAGCAGATTCAGATCAAACCAATAGAACAGAGTTCAATTAGTTTTTCTTCTTTTTGTTCAATTGATTCTTCTCCACTTGCTGTGACGAACAAGTAGAAGGATTTGATCTGATCGAGCAACTCTTTCTCCACCTGATCTCTCTTTGCTCAGGCTTCACCAATCATAACTTTTGTCAGCGGTCCTTTAGGCTTCACAGCTTTGGTCCTTCAAGCTTCTTCACTCCTCCTTCGAGCTTCAACTGAGTGTAGGCCTTCTTTATCTCTCTCTCTCTCCTGTGTCATAATATGTGGTTAGTTAAGTTGTTAATTGTTTTCTTTTTTTGACCAGAATTGTTAAATACTATTAAAAAGTATTTTTTCTAGTATTCTTGTCAACTAATGTTAAGAACAAATTTTTCTTAATAGTGTTTTTCATTATACTTAATTAATTTATGGTAAATTATATGTATTAGGGACATGTTTTATATTTTTTTAGCTAAATTATTATATTTTATATATTTATATTTTTTTTACTTTCGGCTGGTCCAACCAGTTAACCCAATGGTTGAACCATTAAACATTGACCGACTTCTTTTACCAATTCGATGTCCGGTCCGATTATGGAAACTATGCTTATATTTATTACCACTACCACAATCATCCCATTACCACCGTTGCCTACTATTAGCACCCACCACCACCATTGTTGCCTATCACCCACCCACTGCCACCCAGTATCATAACTCACCACCACCCGTCGTCGCCCATAATCGTCGCCAGTCACTGTCACCTACCCCCACCACACTTACCACCACCACCTGTCATCGCCCCACCATAGCTGCCACCCACTGTCACCCACCCCCACCACACCTACCACCACCACTACTATTGTCATTCACCATTACCCATTATATAGTTGCCCCAGAAATACCTGTAGTCACCCACCACCACCATTGTTGTCGTCCCACCACCGCCACTGCCAACCATCACCACCATCGCTGTCACCCATGGCTACTATTACCACCATCACTTAAAATCCACCACCACTATCATCGTTGCCACCCATGACTGCCACCACTACCATGATCGTCACCACCTACCACCACCATCATCGTCTCTCACCACCACCACTACCGCCCACCCATCACTACCATCGCTCACCCCCACTACAACTAGTGCTTAAATTCTTTTTTCTCTCTTTTATGTTTGTGATTTAATTTTGGATGTGAATACAAATATATTTATTATTAACCATTTTTTTTTACTTTGTGCCTTTCGGTATGGGCAATAACTAGTTTTTTTGGATATAATAACATAAATAGTTTTTGGGTACTATAACCTTGTCTAATAGCCATACGTTATTTGGAGTCCACCAAGAGGAAAAAAGAATCTCAGTTGTCAACGAGAAATCTAATGTCAATGCAGTTTATATAAGTTCCACAAGCAATTGAGGTGATCTGAGAATTTTGATGATGAATGATTAGTTTGATTGAAATTTATAAAATTGAGATTGAGCAAATCCAATTTTTATTTACAACTATTTAATTCAAGGTTTGTATAGATCACAATCTTGTACGCAAGAAAGATTGTGTTAACAATTTTACAAGTTTGAGACAATATGATTCTCTTTTTTTTTTCAACAATAAGGAGATATTCAAGAATTTTACAACACCATACTATCTACTAGAATATCTATATAATAAGATACAATACAATTCAAATATCAAAAGATACATAAAATAACTTTTGCTTTTTGCGGTTGAAATCTCTTTAAAATTAATTTGACGGCTAATATTAACACTCCAAATTTAATAGAAAAAATAGGCCCTTAAGGGTATGTTTATGGTGACTTTTTAAAAGTGTTTTGTAGACTTACAACATTTCATAAGTATTTTTAAAAAAAGTAGTATTTGAAACCGTGCCACTACTACCACCACCGTTACCGCCCAACCACCATCACCAGCACCATTACCACCACCGCCACCACCCACCACCATAACTAACCCCCCTAACCCCACCGCTCCACTATTGCCATCACCACTACCATTAGCACATCCACTTCTGCCACGCCACCACCAC